CATTGCGGGGGTCGACCCAAATCCCCGCAAACCTGGCACCGCACGTGCAGTGCCAGGGGCGGCGGCCCGTCTTCCCATCTTGCCATCATAGGGGGATGCGGGGTCCTTGAAGACGGGATGGGGTGGGCACGAGCGGGCATCATAGCCGGTTCAAAATCAAAAGAGGCATCATAGCCTCATCAATCTAGATTGATCCACTCACGGATCCCCTGCAATTTATCTCCATTGACTTCATTCTATGCGTAGCATGCTCTCACCTGTCGCCCAAAGGGCTGGTGGGACTCCTTGGCGGGGACTGGGCGGGAGCTCTTTGCGATCGAAGTAGTGCGCCGCCCCGAGGGGCTCTGGTTTCTTTCAGGGACGGCAGCGCTGAGAGCGAGAGAGGGGGGGGGACACGGACGGGGTGGGAGGGTGGCTGCTTCCTGCGCCAGAGAGCCTGAAATAACAATAGCCCCGCCGAGGATGAGGGGGGGGAAAGCAAGAGAGTGTGCGTTTGGCATGCCAGTTCTCTAGAGCAGACAAGTGCGAAGCAAAAGCCGTGTGCTGTTTGAAGCTGGTCGCGTTTGACATCCGGGCCCTTTCGCCCCCAGACATCGCGTTTTCCGGGCATGTAGTACTCGGCCATGACAACAGGTGCACCCAGGGCAGGATGTTCCCTACATGTGGCATCCATGCCGGTGTGATCCTTCTTTTGTAAAATCATAAGTACGTAGCACCCCGCAGTTGCGGATAAGAGTGATAGGGCGGCAAGGACGTCGTCAGTCTGCGAGGCTGCGAAGAAGCCCGCCGCAGGCGCCTAACTTTTACAAATAGCTGACGCTTCGCGAATCCCCACCAACCCATCCAGAAACGATGCCCAGAGGAATTGCCTCGATCAGGGAGGTGGGCAGCACACAGAGGAAGCCAGTATGAGACATCTTGGGATATTTTGGGCCATCTTGGAGGTCATTTTGGGCTCTCCCAGGCGCTCTTGGAGTCATCTTGATCAGTGCTCTCCCAAGAGGTCAACATGTAGCGAAAACCTTCGTGAAATCAATGATTTGGCATTCTCGCCGTGGCCTCTTGGAACATCTTGGGTGCCCCTGGGGGGTCTCTTGGGGCTTCGTGGGGGTCTCTTGGGGGCCTGGGGGCCTCTTGGGGCCATCTCGGGGCCATCTTGGGCCCTCTTGGCGCCTCCTGGGCGCTTCTTGGGGCCATTTTGGGGGAGATCGATCATGTCAAACAAGAGGGGAACTTCAATTAGGCCCTTCCCCCTCAGGAGGCCAAAAGGGGCCAAAACCTCATTAAAACCAATGATGTATGCTTCCTCGCCGAGGCCGTTTTGGACGCCCTGACACCTCGCGACCCCCCCCCCTCCAGGTCCAGGGGAGGGGGTAGGGGCCCCTCCCCGAAGGAGAAGAACGAGGGGTGGAAGAGGAAACGTTCTAAACCACTGACGCCCAGAGGGCTGGTGTGATTATGCAGTGAGCCCGCCGAAAGCACCGATATTTTCGTTAAAGCAATGTGGGTGGATCGCGGAGAGGGTCGCGGGTGGATCGCGGGTGGGTCGCGGGTGGGTCGCAAGTTGTATCTCGGTGTGCCATCCCCCGAGCGTGAGCGGGGTGGGACACACATGTACCCCCGGTTGGGTCTTTTGTCCTCTCTAGCCCCCCGTCGCCGCTCCGGTATATTGTGTCCTCCCAGTATCACAGAGTGGATGGCTCGCGGGGAGTGGTTCGCGGGGAGGGTCCTGGGGCCCTCTCCCTTCCCTAGGTTGAATCGCGGGTGAGTGTCCGCCCTGAGAACACCCTGGGGTCAGACCGTCGCCAGGCCGGGGTGGGTAGCGGGGTGGGTCGCGGCAGGCCTTCTAGATTGGACCGCCTTTCTCGGCGATGAGAATAGGTTTTCAAGAAGAGAAGTGGGGTGGGTCGCGGGGTGGGTCGCGGGGTGGGTCGGGGCGGGTCGCTGGGCGGGTCACGGGGTGGGTCGCGGGCGTGTCGCGGGGGGGACGATGACAACAACAACAACAACAACAACAACAACAAGCAGGGTCCCCACCACGGATCCCCACTTCAGCCACGCACCCAGGGACAATGAATGACCGCTCGGCCCCCTCACTCTGATGTGACAATTTCCTATCCTCCATCTCCCTCTCGTGCAGCTGGTGCGAGGGTTCCTGGAATGCGGTGGAAGCTCGGAGTGCTACCCTGATGTTCTTCTCCCCCACCCCTCCCCCTCGACCGTGCCCCCTTCCGTCCATATCCCTCTCGCTTCGCCCGCCCCCCCCTCTCTCACGTGTCGTGCGCGTATCCCCCCTCGCCCCCCCCCCCCTTGCCTCCCTCCCGCGCCGTCGGCCCCCTCGTCCCACGTCCATATCCCCTCCCTTTTCCTGGCGCCTTCTCACGTTAGTACGCCGTTTCCGCCCCCACCCCTCGCCGTCACACCCCTCGTCCCTCGCCGCCCACCAGCCTCCTTTTCCTCCCCTTCCCCGCAGTGCCCCCCCCGCCCCACGTCTATACCGGCTCGCTTTCCTGGCGCCTCCTACGCCGTTTCCGCCTCCCTCCCCGGCCTGCCTCCTCCCAGGAGAGCAAGGAGTCGTGATGAAGTTCCCGTGCTTCTACATCTCCTTGGTGTGCAAGCTCTTCGGCACCGCCTTCCTGTGCCCTGTCGGAAGAGGTTCGCTCTCGACCCGCCGACCAAAAAAACTTCTAACATCCAAGTGCCTGCGGCAAGGCCCGCCGCCGTGCCAGCCCAGCACCTTGGGTGGCGACACTGCCCGCGGGGCGCACAGGAGACTGTAACGTGTGGCACACACCTTCGCGTCGTGTCGGGGTTCCCTTGGGGGGGGGTGGTCATTTTCAGTTTCGTCGTCTTCGCTTCTTTCTCCACCTTTCTTGTGCTCTTGTGTGGCAGTCTTGGAGCTCTATTGCGCCGCATTGGGGCCCTCTTTGTCGTCTGCGGGGTATCTTGCGGCCGCGACGGGCTCTCTACTGCCGTGTTGGTTCCATGTGGGGGCCCTCTTGGGCCATCTTGGGGCTATCTTGAAACCTTTCTGGGTCGTCTATGGGCCCTGTTGGCTGTCTTGAGGCCGCTTGGGAGGATTATTGTGACATACTGAGGACCCCCCTTGCGCCGTCATGAGGCCATCATGGAGGTTTTGGGGGCCGTCTGGAGCCACAGGAAGCTCGGAATTTTGACAATTCCCACACATCGGTAAGAGCACATGCCGAACATCGATCAGCGTGGCCTCCCCTGGCCTTACTAGGCGTCGTATTGTGGCCCTCTTGGGCAGTCTTGGGGCCATTTTGGGCCGCCCTGTGGCTATCTTGGGCCGTTTTGGAGGCGTCCTGTGTCATCTGGGCGGTCTTGGTTGTCTGCCCCATAGTTTTTGTTTGCGAAGGACACTGGCCTCGGGAGCGCGGGCCCATACGGTGGAGACCCGCGCCAAGAAGCACCTTGTTTGCCTCCAGGGTGCCTTGGGTTTTTTGGGATCTCGATGGTTTTGCTATGGGAAGCGTGACGATCCCACACCAAAAATCAATGGACGCCCTGGGGTCTCAGGGTTGGGCTTCTCGTGGAAGGTTTCTTGTGGTTGGGCCCCTACTGTAGACTTGAATAGATTGGATCGTGGCCCCGGGCCAGTCTCGTTTAACCGACCCCCAGCCCCATCCCCATCCCCTTCGAGACCCCTACCAAATTACCCCCCCAGTTTGGGATACATCCCTCGAAATCCGAAGGGAACGGCCTAAATCCATATCTAGGGGGGTAAATCGGCCAGCGGGGCCCAGGCCACGCCGCTGGGGATGGGGATCCGTGGGCGGGGCACGCGGGGAGGCGCTACAGTGGAGGCCCAGTACAAGAAACACCCTGCCTGCCTCCAGGGTGCCCTGGGCTTCTTGGATCTCGATGGTTTCGCGATGAAAAGCGTGACGTGCCCACATCCAAAATCAATGGACGTCCTGGGGTTTCAGGGTTGGGTTTCCTGTGGAAGGTTTCTTGTGGACTTGCCTCCACTGTACACCCCTCCCGCGAAACTTGGCACGCGCTTTCCCGCGCCGCGTCGGCGCCCCCACGACCCCCAGGTTTCAATGCCGATGCCGAACACGCTTGACTTCAGTCGTTCCGCCGGCGTCCGCGGACCGCGACGCGCGCGCAGGTGAACATTGAAATTGTGGGCGCGGGGTGGGTGGGTGGGTCGGAAACGTTGCGTTGAGTTTAGCGGGGGGGTGTATTCGATGAGGGGCGGGGTCCTCCCTTAGAAGAGTAGCAGGAACCCTACCAGACACCACTTGGTTTTATTCTGACACACATATCAACGTGCCAAGGGGCATGGTAGCGTATTTCAGAGACTTCCTGTTGCTCTGCGCGAGCTCCAGAAAACAGACTGCTAGATAACCCAGAGCTCTTGGAGAGCACCCTGAGCCGATCGCACCATGATAGCATTCTTGTTTTATCCTCCCGCGTTCTCATCTTATCCCCACTCTCCCCCTCCCCCTCCATTGTGCCGCTGCACGAGCTTCGCAGTCTTTCATGTAGGTCAGTGGCGGTGATCTGGTTTACATAGAGTCAAGTCTCTGAAAGGTCTAGCACTTCGGGTCCCGAAGGGGCTCGCTGTTTCCTGGGTCGCGCGCTCGGCAGCCAGAGTGTGGAGAGGTGCGGTGGCTCACATTTTCTCTGCCTTTCCTTGTCCCCCTTCTCCAACAGATGCGCTGGAAACACAAATCGCCCTGCACCCGAAACCGAGGCTCGCATCTCCCCTGGGAAATCAAAAGATACCGATAATCTCTGGGCGCCCTCCTCGGAGGTTGGCCGCGCGCTTCGCGCGCGGCTAGCTCGGGTGTTCTGTGCGAAGGACCAAAAAAGGCACCGATACCGCTACTCCCCGGACCTCGCCTGGGGTGCGTTCTGACCCGGATTTCGAGGCGAATCCAGCGGCGGCGACGAGGGCCCCAAAACGGAAAAACGGGGGAAGGGTCGGTATGGGCACCTTTTCCTCTTCCGATCCGCCGCCCGCTCCGTCTAGGCGGGCAACGTGATGGTGCGCCCCGAGCTCCACACGGCCGCGGACGTGGAGAAGGCCCCCCTTCCACCCCTGCGGGCGAGGCGAGGGCCGAGCCCAGGGGGCCGCTTGGTTCGATGGGAGGATCCGCGGCACCGCAGTGGCTTCTTGCCAACGGGTGCCCGTCGGTCGTTGAGAGCAGGTATGTGCGAATGCCAAGATTCCAATCGACATCAGGCGCCTTCCCACGTCAAGAGTCGAGCGGTGTTCCCTCTTCCCTCCCCTGCAGGGGGCGGGCGGAAGCCCAATCTACTCTCACCGCATTCCTACATCATGCCTCTGCCTACTTCTGACCGATGTGTACTCGCTGACGAGTAATTGCGACAGGTGCGCGTCGAGTCAACGCGGCGACGACCCCACCGCGGGCGTTCAAGGTTGAACACCGTTCAGGAATCGGACAGGACGAAACGATTTGGCGATTGAAAGTTGCCGATCGTTCAAGGTTGAACGAGCCACGCGATGTCAGAAACCAGGGCAACAGTCGTCACTGGTTACGGTTCGGTCGGTTCGGTTGCGTCGCAGTCGGTTGCGTTAGGTCGGTTCGGTTTGGTAGGTTGTTGTGTTGTTGTTGTTGTTGCGTCGTTGCGCCTTTCTTGGCTGCGAGCTGCTTGCGGCATGTCCGTTTTGTTGGCTTTCAGTTGTGCCGTCGCCGTGGACGGCCGCACTCACTGACGGGTTTTTTGGAAACCCGCTGACAATTGCAATCTTAGGACTTTCTTTCGGCACCGTGGCACTGCCCGCGTCTGGAAGGGTTGGGTTCGCCGGGTCGCTGGCCAAAGTGCCCTTTCGGTGGAGTCCCCGTCGAGGGGGCGGGCGGCGCTGAGGGGAGGAGCCCCGCTGCCACCGCAGGGTCCCACTGGAGCCTTCGGTGGAGCTCGCTATGGGGCCACGAATCGCTGTACTGGGTGGTGGATGACGCATGCGGGCGGTCCCACTGGGGCCTTCGGTGGAACTCCCTATGGAGCCACGAAGTGTTGTGCTGGGTGGTGGATGGCGCACGCGGGTGGTCCCAGTGGGTCCATTTCGATCCGATCGATCCGATTCGGTGTCGGTTTCGGCTGCCCAGATCCGATTCGATCTAGGCTTCTGGGCGATCCGATTCGGCGCGGTGCTCGCATGGCGCCATTGTGCTTCCTGGCGAAGCCGATCCGAGTCGGCCTCGACTTTCCGATTCGATGCGGATTGATCCTGCCACCGGCGGGCCACCTGGTCGAGGAGGCCCACGACGCATCTGGACGAGCGGGAGATTGGGAGGGGTCTTCAGCAGGGGTCGGCCACGCGCAGAGGGGGGCGGGAGGAGGGGTCAAGGCTTCTTAGAAGCACCCCTGTTTCTCAGCAGGCGCGGGCCTCGTCTACAGATGCAGGGCCAGCGCCCTCTAAGTGGCAGCCTCCTTCTAAGAAGCCTTCCCTCCCTTCCCCCTTGCCCCCCGCTCTGCGCGCCGCCAGAAGGGGCCGATCGCCTGATCCGATCGAGCCTCCTGATGTCGGAGTAGGTCCAGCCCTGCCCCCTTGTGCGCGCCGCAGGGCAAGGGGTCCTGCGCCGGGGTCGCCGCTGGGCAGGGGGCCATCACACTCGCAAAAGGGGACGACGACGAGGAGGAGGTGGGTACTGATTATGATGATGATGATGATGATGATGATGACGATGACGATGATGATGATGATGATGATGATGGTGATGGTGATGGTGATGATGATGATGATGATGATGATGATGATGCCGATGATGATGCCGATGATGATGCTGATGATGCTGATGCTGATGATGCTGGTGCTGATGAGGATGAGGATGATAATGGTGATGAAGCTGATGGTGGTGATGATGATGTTGGTGCTTATGCTGCTGCTGATGATGATGTTGATGATGCTCATGGTGATGATGATGCTGATGATGATGATGATGATGATGATGATGATGGTGATGCTGCTGCTGATGATGAGGATGAGGCTGATGATGATGATGATGGTGATGGTGAAGGTGATAATGATGATGCTGCTGATGATGATGACGATGACGATGCCGACGACGATGATGAGGCTGATGATGATGATGCTGCTGATGATGATGCTGATGATGATGCTGATGGTGGTGGTGATGATGATGACGACGACGATGACGATGACTATGACGATGACGATAACGATCGTTCTCGTCATCGTCATCGTCATCGTTCTGTCCGCTACCTGCGCGAGGGAGGGTGGCGGACTCGAGTCCTCGAGTCCGCCCCTCCCCCCCGGCTCGAACTCGGCCAGCAGCCCTTGGGGCCTCTGGGCTTCCCAGATGTGGATCGGCAGCAGACGGGGCCGGAGGATCGCGCCGCGCCGCATCGCCGATGCATCGGCGATGCGGCTCGATGTGGAGCCCGAGCTTCGCCACGCCGATGGCGTCGATGCTTTGCCGACGTCGCCGATGCGGAGCGATCCTCCGACCCCATCTGCTCGGAACCCGCTATGGGGAGGCCTCTGGGGTCGGGGTCAGCGACGTCGATCGAAGCGCAGTGGCAGGTTTGGTCCCGTGGTTTTTGTCGTCTGTGTCCGCGCAGGTTTTTGTTCAGCACTCTGTCTCGTCATTCTCGGGGTGCGCGAGGTGTGCATGTGGCATGTCGCGATCCTAATGACTAGTGCGAGCCTGTTTGCTGATCCGCCACTGGGGCCTTCGGTGGAGCTGCCTATGGGGCTACGAAACGCTGTACAGAGTGGGGGAATCGCAAACGAGCGCAGCCACTGGGGCCTTCGGTGGCGCCCCCCATGGGGCCACAAAACGCTGTACTGGGTAGGGGAACCGCATGCGACGGCGCAAGGCGAAGCTTCGCCATCGCAGCCTCTTTTGCTCATATTACATACGGTGTACATATTCGATCTGATATGACATGCGGGTTCTGTACGATATGCGCACACGCGTGCACGAAGCATGGGTCTGACCACTAGGAGGAGGAGGAGGAGGAGGAGGAAGAGAGGAGGAGGAGGAGGAGGAGGAGGAGGAGGAGGAGGAGGAGGAGTGGCGGCGCTACAGAGCCTTTATCGAAAGGGTCTCGAAAACAGGAGGAGGAGGGGGAGGAGGGAGAGGATGCGGGAAAGAAAAAGGAGGGGGAGGCGGGGAAGGGGGAGGACGAGGGGGAAAGGGTTGCGTTGCCGCCTCGACTCCCTCCCGGCGGCGGCAGCGTGCGCAGCAGCAGCAGCAGCAGCAGCAGCAGGAAAGACGGGATAATTAGGACGATCATGAGAATCTGGGTGGGACTGTTTGAGGAGGAGGAGGAGGAGGAGGAGGAGGAGGAGGAGGAGGAGGAGGAGGAGGAGGGAGATGAGGATGAAACGCGTTTGCCTCGAAACCGTACCGTCTTGGTGCTGGCGTCGGGGCTGGCGGCCTTGCTTGCGGCGATGCTGGCGGCTGTGCTGCGGTGCTGCGGTGATGGTGTGTATCACTCCTCCTCGTCCTCCTCCTCGTCCTCCCCCTCATAATCCGTAACCACTATGGTTCAGGATGATGCGATCAGGGCAAATGTCTGGTCCCATGTGGCTGGCTCTAGCCGTCGCGTCACTTCTTGGGTCAGATCCCAAATCTACCAAGCTTTCAGAGAAGCCTTCGCGGCCACAGTTCTTTCACATCCATTTCCTCCCCAACACCCGGCCCCAGTCGCCCGATTGGGAGCCCAGCATCGGCGTGCTCAACCAATGGCAGGACGTTGTGGCGATGCTCGGGGAGCCGCGCGTGGCGGCGGCGGCAAAGGCGGCAGAGGCGGACGAGGAGGTAGTCAGCCAGGCGGGGTGGGGGGCAGCAGCAGCGGTGGAGGCAGCCAGCCCAAAGCCTGGGATTGTCCCAAGTGCGGTGCCAAGAAAAACTGGGGCACCAGGCGCGTATGTCGCAGCTGCGGATTTGATTGGTGGGAGCAAGGATCCGGCGCGAGCTCGTGGTTGAGTGGCATGTTTCATCTGGACGCCAAAGAACGACACAAGCTCAGCCAGTTGCGGCGAAAGGTCTAAAAACTCGAAGGAGATTCTCTCGCAGCTTCAGGAAGTGATGGAGGCGTAGCAGCTGCAGCCAAGTCCGCCCCGAAGGACGAGAAGGCACGGCGCCTTGGGAAGTTACGGAGTGAAATCAGAAAGCTCGAAGGAGTTGAGGGCACGGATCAAATACTGGCTGGCAAGAGGAGGGGGGCGCAGCAGCTGGAACGCGAGCTCGCCGAGGAGATGCCCATGTCCGTGCAGCTCAGCGAGCTCGAGCGCAAGCAGCGGAACCAGCAGAGCACCTCGGAGGCGCTGGCCAGGAGTAACGAGGACACCACGCGGGGGATCGCGGGCCTCGAGGCGCACTCTCTAGCTGGAGGGCAAACGCGAGCAGAGCAAGGCTGCGGAGAAAGAGCTCCAGGCGCTCATCGACAACCTCTTGGCCAAGCACAAACGTGAGCGCGAAGTTTACTTCGGAAAAGGAGCGTTGAGGGTGGGCGCCACTGCAGCATCACCTCGGTCCCCAGCAGCCTTGCTCAGCGAGGGCGAACGCGCCGCAACCTTCCTGGAAGCTTTGGACCAGGCTTCTGGCACGCTCAACACAGGGCACGCGCAGCAATGGGAACAACAAGTCTTCCAGCTTCGTCGGCTGGCGCACTGCGCGGCATCAGCAGGCGCGGCTGCAGAGCGCGACAGCAGCGACGAAAAAATCGAGGAGGCTGACCTCAGCAACATCCTGGACAGCATGGAGGAGCAGGTCGAGGTCCCCGGGGAGGAGGACAGCGCGGCAGCAGGCGCTGGCAGCTGCGACGAAGGGGTTCGACGCGGTGACCCGGCGGCCCAGGCAGCCCAGAGGCGCAGGCTTCGCGCGCAGAAGCTCCTCCATAGCGTCCGCTCGGCGGGGCTCAGGCGGGGGAAGTAGCGCGGGTAGCGAGCCCATATTCACGGTGGTCAGCCGCGACGGCAGCGGTCGGGGCCCTTTTTCGCGACCATCCTCGGGGAACAGCAGGGCCCGCAGCGGCAGGTGGTCGCCGACGCGCGCATGGGCGATGCGATCTGCTTTCAGGAGCACC